CTTTCCGAATGTTTTATTTTATTTCAAACTGGTTAATAAATCATTGAAATTTTAAAATGTTATTAATTTTCTTAAAAACAAAAAAGAAAAAAAAAAGAAAAAATGAGAAAATATTTGATAAAACATGGTAATATATGAGAATTTGTAATTTTACCATAATAAATTTGTTAAAATATAAAAAAAAAAAAAAAAAAAAAAAAAAAATGAAAGAAAGAGAATTATGTTTGATAATAAATTTTGAAATTTCAATTTAATATTTTTTTTTTTTTTTTTTTTTACAAAAAAGAACCTACAATTTTAATTAATAAAAAGATTTAAATTTAAAATCTTTATTGTCCTAATTAAAATTTTTCATTCATTCATGCATTCATTTCACAAAAATATTTTCTAGGCCAATGCAATTATTAAATGATTTATTAATTCTCATTTCTGATATTATTAATCATTATGAGAGAGTTTGACCAATGTCAAATAATGACCAATAAGTTTGAAATTCACATAAACAAACTGTAATATTACATAAAAATTTGAACTAATTAATTTTTGCAACTAATATTACATTGAATTATTATTATTATTATTATTATTATTATTATATATTATTATTATTATTATTTAAATATTTTTCTCCAAATTTTTCTCCTTCTAAATTCTTTATTACATTAAATTAATTATAATTTAAAACTATTTTGTATTAATTATACATAAATTTCTTTTCATTTCTGATTTTTTTTTTTGAACTGTGTGAAAAGATTAATTTTTCATTTATTCAAAGTATAATAATAATAATAATAATAATGATAATGATAATGATAACGATAATAGCAATAATGATAATGATAATGACAACGATAATGATAATAATAATAATAATAATAATAATAATAATAATAATAATAATAATAATAAATAATAATAGTAATAACAATGATAATAATAATAATAATAATAATAATAATAATAATAATAATAATAATAATAATAATAATAATAATAATAATAATAATAATAATAATAATAATAAATAATAATATAATAATAATAATAATAATAATAATAATAATAACAATAATAATAATAATAATAATGACAATAAATAATCTAATAAATACATTAGAAATTCAGTTTCTGCTTAATACTAAAAAAAAAATTTGAAATAAAATAAAAAAAAGAGAGAGAGAGAGGGAGAAGAAAGAAAGAGAAAAAGAAACAAATGACAATTTCTTAGCTATTTTGCTCATTTTTCATTTTATTGATGATAAAAGCATATTGTTTGCTTCAATTTTGGGATAATATTTTTTTTTAAAAAAAAAAAGAAAAAAAATGAAAAAAAAATCGAAGAATTTCTAATTTTTTTTTTTTCTTTTTTCGTTTCAACTTTAAAAACGAAAAAATCAAACACAATTTATTCACACATTTTGTTTTTTTCCTTTAAAAACATCAAAAATAATTTCTGCTTTTTAATGTTACAATTATCATTTCAACAATTTTTTTTAAAAAAAAAAGAAAAAAAAAAGTTTAAATTTGGGATTTTTTGCACCAAACAATGTTTATTTCTAATTCTTTGGTGTTTTGTTCCTTTTTTTTTTTTTTTTGTTTTGTTTTGTTTTTGTTTTCAAAAATAAAATGAAATTTTCTTTTCTTTTTTTTTTTTCATCTTTCTTTTGAAACTTTTCACTTTTCTTTTTCATATTTTTTTTTTCTTGTATGAAATTTAAATAAAAAGGAAAGGATGAAAGGGGGGGGGGGGGGGGAAATTGAAAAAAAAATTAATATATGAAATTTGTTTTGCTTAAAAAAAAGTTTAATCTAATTTGAGTGGATTAGTTCAAATTTTTACATTTTAAATTTATTTAACTTTAAATTTAACAAATTTTATGAGTAAATTGATATCGTTAAAAAAGAAAGAGAATGAGAGAGAGAGAGAGAGAGAGAGAGAGAGAGAGAAAGGGAATGGAAAGATTATTAAATTGAATCATTTATAATTCCTTCAATTTTAACCTCATTGCATTTCATTTCATTTCATTTAATTCAATTATTCAATTTTAAAAATTTTTCGTTATGAATAAATTTAAATATTATTTATTAAATACATTTCTGTTATATAAATAATAGAAACATTTCCATTTTGCATTATTAACAAGGCTAATCTTTCTTTCATTGTTCTTTTTTTAAATGCTCATTTCAGAATAATTCAATTCTAAATCAATTAATGAAATTAAGTACTAAAAATTTTAGAGTGCACAATTTTATTGCTTAATTTTAGCTTTGATTTAGAATTAATTAATTATTCTTTTTCTCCATAATTTTGTCACAAAATCATTAAAAATTAATTGATATACTTTAAAAAAGCTAATAAAGGAATTAATTAACACAATTTGTAATTTTCATAAGTTTCATTTTCAAATCATTTTTTCTTTCTTTTTTTTTTTTCTTTTATACTTTTCTCTTTCTTTTTTTTTGCAATTATTATTATTATTTAAGTGAATTTCACAAAGAGTTTTATAGCATAAAATCATTAAAAATCATTTCTATCATTTATAATATATTTTTTTTTAAAAAAAAAGAAAGGGAAAAAGAAACAGAGAAAACTCTGTTTAAAAATGCAAAAAAAAAATTTCAACATTTCATTTTTTTTTTTCATTTATATTACTTTGCAAAGAAAAAAAGAAAATTTGCTGCTTTTAGCAAATTTCAATTTTGCTTTTTCTATAATGTGAGCAATGAAAAAAGAATAAACAGGAATGAAATCGGAATGAAACCGGAAAAATGGAAATAGAATGTTAGTATCAGTTGAATAAAATAAATAAGCTTTTTTTTTCTTTTTAAACATTAAAATTTGCTAATTTTTGTATGAAAAAATTGCCATTTTGTCAAATTTTTAAATATTGAAAAAAAAAAAAAAAACTCGCATTTTCTTTTTCTCATCTATTTTTTCATAAAATTTACAAATTTAAAATTAATTAGAAATTTCGTTCGTTTATTTTTGTTCATTCAAAATTTTTAATTTCGGAATTTCATCAAAGATAAATGAATTAAAAAAAAAAAAAAAAAGAACGAAATGAATGAACGATTGAATGATTTCTAAATGTTTTGAAATTTTTTTTTTTTAAAAAATATTCTTTTGATCTTTTTTTGAAACTGCAATTTAACAAAAAAATAAATTTCATTCAAATTTAATTAATTCATAATTAAAATTCCTTTCAAAAAATTTAAATAAAGCAAAATTTCTTTTTCATTTTTTTTTTTTTTTTTTTTTGTTTTTAATTTAAATTTTCTAACTAATATGCAAACAATGCTTTTCGTTCCAATATAAATACTACCAATTTAATCTTTTTCATTTTTAAATAAAATAGAAATGACATTCTCATAAATCATTCATTGCAACATTATCCATTAAATGATGTAACAATGAGAGAGCAAAAAAGAAAAAAAAAAAAAAGATGAAATTTGTTTCGTTTTTATTTCAAATTTTAAAACAGATGGAATTTTATTACGGGGAGATTTTTTCACTTACTGAAAAATTTTGTTAAAAAAAAAAAAAAAAAAAAATAGAAAAGTAATTATTAAATTAAAATAAAATTCATAAATAAATGTAAATGTATATATGCATGTTATAGTAAATTAATTAAATAAATAAATATTTGTTTTCTTTTTTTTTTTCACAGAATTTTTTTAGCAAAAATTTTAATTACAAAAATAATTACTAAATTGAACTGAATTCCATAAATGTATATGCGTGTTATAGTAAATAAATTAAATTAATTGGTTAAATTAATAAATAAATAAATATATAAGTTAAATTTTAATTATTTCATTTTTTGAAATTAGACTAATCATTGGAATAGCAAAAATATTTAAGTTAGAATCTTTCAATAGTTTCATTCACTTATATATATATATATATATATATCATTTTTATATTCTATAATGTAATTATTTTAAGATTTATTTCATAGTTTTGTAAACAAATAATTCAAAATGAATAAGCAATGGCTTTGTTAGTTAGTTAACTAATTAATTAATTAATTAGTTAATTAATTAGAACACAATTATGAATATAATTTTAACTGAAAAGTTGAGTGATGTTTTATTTATTTATTCATTTATTTTTTTTGCTTGAAAATTGTCAAAATGTAAAATAATTAATTAATTAATTAAAGGAAAAAAGAAATAATTTATTAAAGAAAGAATGAATGAGTGATAAGATATAATTTTTGTGATAATTTTTATGATTAAAATTAATAGACATAAAGTTTATTACATTTTAAAATTAAGTTAGCAAAATAATTTCCTATAATATTTCAAATTAAATTAATAATAAAATATTAATCAGCTCGTTTTTTTTTTTTTCTTAATATCATAATTACATTTTGGTGTTATCAAATTAAATCGAATATCGAATGAATGAAATTTTTCTATTGAAAATTAAAATTATATTTTCTAAAATATTCATTAAATATTTTACTTTATTTTTTCGTTTTTTTTTTTTTGTTAAAAAAAATAATTTTTGAAAGAATAACAAAATAATATTTCATTCTTACACTAAATTCATTCATATTTGTAACACAAATACAATTAAAATTAATGTAAATAAAAGAAATAATTGAAAATTTTAGCAAATATATGAAATGCAATTTTTTTTTTTTTAGAAAAAAAAAAGGAAAAATAAACAAAAATTACAAATAATATTTGATTTCCTTCAGAGAAAAATTTAATTAAAATTTAAGTTTTTAATTCTTTCAGTTCATTAATATATTTGATCACACATTATTTTACTTTTTACTAAGTGTGAAAATTGTGACACGAAAAAATGAAAAAAAGCTGTGACAAATTTAAATTTTTAGAAAGATGAACGATTGATTGGACAAAGAGAGAGGGAGAGAGAGAGAGTGAATGAGAGAAAGAGAGGTGGAGAGAGGAGGAAGAGAGGAAAAGAAAGAATGCCATGATGATTTCCTCTTCCAATAACTCTTTGTAAATCGAAACAATATGTATGTATGTATGTGTGTATGTGCGTGTATGTGTATGCATGTATGTATGTACGTGTATGTACACATACACATACATACAAATAGCTTTTGCTCCTCAAAAATTGATCTTTGAATTCTTTCTCAAAGTTTAATTCAATCAAATTTGTTAGTTACTAATTTTGGAAATTCCTTCTAACATTATGTTAATATAAATATTTAAAATCATTTAAATATTTTGATGTAATAAGTAATTTTCAATAAATAAAAGTAAAAAAAGAAAATAGGTAAGTAGGATTGATAAATTATTTAATTGTTTACTGTAAAAGATAAACTGAATTGTGATATTTTAATTTAACTAATATAATTATATCAGAACACACTATTAAGCAATCATATTTTAGCTTTTGAGCATTTCATCTAATTTCCATTTCTATTCTCATCCAATCTCATTAATTTTATCCTCTCTCTCTCTCTTTGTCTCATGAAAATGCTTAAATTACTTAAATTATATTTTAAATTAGGGAAACAAATTAAATAATTAAATTAAATTAAACTTCAGAAAATATTTCTGAAGGGTTTTAATTATAAATTGGCAAGAGATGACAAGACTAATTAATTAATTAATTAATTAATTAATTAATACTATTGTCATTTTTATTTTTTTAAGGGCATTGGCAATTGTTTTTCAGAAAAATTTTAGAATTCGTTCCGAAAATCAGAATAAGGTGATAGAATGTTTTCTCGTTTATATATATATATATATCTTCCAGTCTTTCCTGATCACTTTTATCTTCCATATCACTTCATCCCTTTCCGGTATATCCTTTCCTGTATTTACTCTCTCCCACTTACTTACCTCTCTTTTTGACTTAGATGAAATCAAATAAATAAATAATGCAAAGTAAATCAAAAATCATATCAAATTCATTGTCACTTTTCTTTTTTCTTTTGTTTACACTATTTACTGTCGACGAATGACAATTTTCTTTTCTTTCTTTTTTTTTTTTTTTTTTTGAATAACTAACAACAAAAAGCATAACAAATAGAAAATTTTGATTAACAAAGTAAAAAATCGATAAAACACTCAGAATTAAAGAATAGAATAGAATAGAAAAGAAGACAAAATAAGAAAAGGGATTGCATAGAAGACAGAATAAAAGAGAGAGAGAAACGAAAGATTAAAAGAAAAAACTTGCCGATTATAAATAGGAGAAATAACTTTAAATTTAAAAAAAACCAACATTCTTGTATGTGTATGTGTGTGTCTACAATAAATAATGATTGAATTTTTACCAAAAAAGGAGAGAGAGAGAGAGAGAGAGAGAGAGAGAGAGAGAGAGAGGGAGGGAGAAGTACAACGAGAAGAGTTAAGAGAAAGAGGAAATAAGTGTAAGTTAAAATTATCAGCTCTATTGCACATTTCCCATTACCATTTGTGATCGATCTATAAGGGAACACCCATTTTTAACCAAATTAAATACTTCAGTTAATTAATTAAGCAATTAATTAATTAATTATCGTTAATTCTGTATGTCAGAAAAAAGAATAAAATGGATTTATAAGTACGCAAAGATAATCGCTATTATTATTATTATTATTTTTAAATATCAATGAAATTAAAGGATAATTCAATTTATACTTCCTATTCCTTTCTATATTATATAATTATTTTATCAATTTTATTTATCATTAAATATGGAATGCTTGGAATGAATCAGAAAGATGAAGGTCAAGATTTGCAATGATCTAGAAGATGATTAGACAAAAGCGCTTTTGTGATTATTTCTTTCATTTTTATGGATTGCTTTTGTTGATGGTAAAAAAATTAAAAAAAAAAAAAGGAGGGACATTATTTTTTGTAAGAAAATTTGTCAAAATTCTGAAATGGTCGTTGTTCTTTCTTTCTTTCTTTCCTTTTTTTTTTTTTTTTTTTTTTTTTTTATTTCTAAATTAAACTTTAAACAAAATTTTCATTTCTTTGGATTTTTGCTCAATTTTAAATTAATTATAAAATCTCTCAAAGTTTTCATTTATTTAATAAATTTGTCGCCAAAGGTATGTTTTAATGAAAGGAATAGTCTTAAAATTAACAAGAAAAGAAAAAATAAATGACACTTGTAATTGAAGAAGTTATTTGTATACATTACTGTTCTCACATTTACTATCATTATCATTATCAGTGCCATCACTAATCATCATCATCATCATCACTCTATCATTGCCATTATCATCACTATTATTGTCATCATTATCATCACCATCATTATCCTCACTACTATCATTAATAACATTACCACATTGTCCTTTATCACTATCAACCGTTCTCCATTATCCCATTACTACTACCATCGTTATTATTATCATTATTATTATTATCCTCATCCTCACTATTATCATTAACATCACCATCATCATCATCATTACTATGACCGTTATTATCATAATTATTCCTACCATAATCTGAAAACAAATTTATTCAAAAAACAATCAAAAAAAAAAAAAAAAAGAATTGAAATTAGTAAATTAAGCGGTGAAGATGCTAATGTAGTATTTGAAGTAGTATAGAACAGATTTCATTAGAGTAATTAATCAAAAATTAATGACATGATTACTGAAAAATGTACCTGTTACTGTAATAAAATTATATATATTTAAAAATTTATTAAAGAAATTTTTAAATTTCTTATTCTCTTTTTCTCCATTTATGATTCTAATTTTTATCATTTATATACTTACCTTTTTTACAATAAAATTATAAATTATAGTAATAACAAAATATGATAATATCAATATTTAGCAATAACAATAATTTCATGCTATAAAGCAAAATGTTTCTAATTAACAAAAGAAATTTTAAGCTTTTGAAAAAGAGAAAAGACAAAAAAAAAAAAAAAAAAAATTAAGGGTTGAAATTTGTTAAAATTGATTCAACTTTTGAAAGATGAAAAACAATAGAAAAAGGACAAGTAATTAATGTCAACGAACATGTGTTTCTTTCCCTTTCATTTATTTATTATATAAATTTGTTAATTTAAACAAAAAAAAAAAAAAAATTACACAGATAATTAGAAAGTCATGAATTAATTAAAAATTTCATACGTATTTTAAAATCATATCTTTATTATTGTTTAAATTAATTAATTGATTAATTCAGTTCTTTGGCTTTCAAATTGCCTGATGGTTATTCCAGTATTAATTAATTTAAAATACTGGACTGAAATAAAAAAAGTGAAATTAATAATAATTTATGAAGAAATGAATTATTATATAAAAATTTATTTGTAAAAATGAAAGAAGAAATTTAATTTAAAAGGTTAACAAAATACAAAAAATGAATGAACAATGAACAAACAGGTGAAATTTCATTTTTTGTTTGTCAAAAATGAAATCGGGTCAAATTGTATTGGATTAAAATATCTGTTAAACTCAAATTTTGTCATATTTCATATCATTACCTAATTTTTTTAGTGCTATTATTATTATTAGGAATATGGCTATTGATAATAGATTACTGATAAGATTTGAAGCTTTTAATACATGATCATTATCATCACAATAATGATTACATTTAAACTATAAAACAAAATAATAGCAATAAAATGATACAAATATTATTTTAATTATTTTTCATGTATAATAAGATGAACTTTTAGAAAGAGAAATTAAATTTTATAAAAATGATTTGCACAAAATTGAATTCTTTTTAATTACATTCAAATAATTTATCATTTATAAGTTACTCAAGTTGTAACATTCGATAAGGAACAAAATATCTCAAATTTTACCAAACAAACAAATAATTATTATAATTAAAATTGTCAAATTGATCTAAAATTCATTGATGGAAGAAATGATTGATGATTTGATCTCAACGGACATTTTACAATTTTGTGAAACAGGTTTTACACCTTAGTTACAATCATATCTCACTGAAATATTGCGATACTTTCAGCTTCGTCTGCAAAAATCATTTTTACATCAAAGAAATAATCATTAATCAAATTCGATGAGAGCGGGCAAAATTTCTTTTTTTGATGACAGAAAATGCAGGAAAACATAATAACATTATGTCATCAAATAATAATAATATCACATATTTTATTACCAATAAAATACTAATTATTTTTGATTAATTGAATTAATTAATTAAATTAATTCAAAATTTTTGCATGAATTTTGCAAAAACAATTGGCAATTATATTTTCAAATCTAATATCATAAGAATTTTTTTTTTGACAGACAAAAAAAAATTGAAATATTTCTTAAAAAAAAGTGAAAAATACTTTTGTCTAAAATATTTTTCAAAAGTAAAAATTGTTTGCACACTTTTTTTTTTTTTTTTTTATTCTTAATCATTTATTATATATATATATGCAACTGAAAGTTTATTTTGAAAAAAATGAACAAAAAAAAAACGGAAAATTATTGATATAATTTTTTTTGGAATTCATATCATTAAAAAAAAAAAGAAAAAATGTTTAAATTGTTTTATTAATTTTTTATTGGAATAATAAGAGAAAAAAAAATGATTAAATATTTGACCTTTTATTTGTTATTACTAAGTTTAAACTTTTAAATTCACTTCAATTCTTAGCATTTCATACAATCTGCTGTAAATATTTTCGCCGATTGATAAAATAGAATGAACGGATAATGAATAATGCATTATGACCTATTTTATTTCACCTTCATAATATTATTTCAATTTTAGTCATCAAATTATTAAATTAGTAATTATTTAACTAGCAATAATAAAAAGTTTGATCAATTATTAAATTATTAAATATTATTAAATTAATTTTTTTTTCAATTATTAAATTAATTTTTTGAAATATCTTAAATTATGCTTTATAGTAAATATTATTATAATTATTATATAATGATACACTCCTTATTCCATAATTTATTTGTTCTAAATGTTATGGTTCTTTTCATTTATGATAATCATATACAAATGATAATCAACCATAATTATGATAACTACTGATAACCATATCACTTTCTATTTTTCTACGTTGATATTATCTCTTTTTATATAATAAATTATGATATTATCTCTTTCCATACTGTATATCAATATGTATTTATATATTAAAAAACTTAAATTCCATACATCAATAATTTGAATTTAAGCTATTTAAAATTTGAGTTTTGTTTAATTGATATTATAATTTGTTTATGTTTAACTTATTATCAAACCATTTATTTTCTTTACAAACAGCATGGTACATTACATAAATCAGCAAAAATAGCTACAACGACAAATGCGCATTTGTATTTTGAGCGCTCCTGTCGTATTAATTAGAAGGCCTGATACGAGGTAATAAAAGAAGAGATGAAAAAGAATAGAAATAAAGCAGATGTTAATCGAATAGTAATGAATGAAATAATTAATTTTAAGGAAAAATTTCTTAATATAAAAAAAAAAAAAGAAAGAAGAAAAGAAATTTCTTTTGTCTCTCTTTTTCTGAATTTTTTAAAATATTAATCATATTTTTCTTCTTTATTTTTTAGCTAAAATGCAAATGAATCAAATTAAAAGAAAAAAAAATTAAAGGAAATGGACGTATAATAATAAATGCGGAAAAACAAAGCAAAAAAAAAAAAGTTTTACTACACAATAAATTTGAAAATAAAAAAAAAATCAAAAGAATTTTTAAAATTTAATCATTTTAAATTAATCTCATTAAAAAAAAAAAAAAAGAGAAAGATAATTTTTTCAAATATATTTAGATATAAAAATATTTTAACAATAAAATATTACTTTTTCTTTTAATTTATAAAAAATTTAGAGTAATGAAGATGTAATTTAAACGGAAGACATATGAAATGAACGAGGATGTTGTTCCGATGTGAGATTTTGTTGCAATGCAGTTGTTGTTGAACTGGGATAATTCTTCTAAAACAAAATTTAATGAAGAAAAATTAGTCAAAGTAAATAGACAAATAAACGAGTGGACAAACAAACGTATAAATAAATAAATAAATAAGTAAGCAAATAAATAAGTAAATAAATAAATAAATGTATGCTATGAAATGATCAAATCTTATATGTATGTGATATTATTACAGTATGTTCAGTTAAAAAAATTAATTAAATACTTCCAAGAAAATTATTGTTATTACACGCTTTACAAACTTTCAAAGTGTTCACTTTTCTTCTTTCATTTAAATATATGGCCAAGTGTAAGATCAAGCATAAATATAGCTAAGTATGTATAAGTAGCATAAATATGGCTAAGTATGTGTAGGTATGTAAAGTGCGCATTTATGCATATATATATATTTATAAATATATAGGAAAAGTTATGAACTTTAATAATTTATTTATACTATTTTTTATTTATGCAAATTTATGAAATAGTATAGTATCAGAAGAGAGAGCTAGGTAAATTCTAATTCTAAAATTTAGACCAGAAAAAATAGATTAATGTATAAGTAAATATTCTTGATAATATTATAATTTCTTTAGCAATAGTTACCTGATGAGATTGCACATTTCCGGATATTTCTGAATGATGCGGATAATTGCTTTGTTGCTTCTGAGATTGTGAATAATCCGGTTGAACGACATACATCGGTGGCGGTGTTATGTACGCAGGTTGAGTATGCATCGATGATTGCAAAATTGGTGTTTCCAGACTAGAAATGTAGGTACCATGTGATTGTCTAGAAAAAATAATTTCTATTCCTATCAGATATCGAACAGAGAGAAATCTATTAAAAAAAAAAAAAAAAACGAACTTCAAAAATGATAATTATTTATTCATTTCTTAGAATTCATCTATTATTTATAATATTGATAGTTAATTTTAATGTTAATTGATCAAAAAATTAATTCAAAAAAGAAAAAAATATTGAAATAATCATTTTGTATAATATTTTTCTTTTCTAATGCTTACAAACATATCAGAAATCTATTATCGTTATTTGATTTTCATTATAAACCATACTGACATAACAATAAAGTATTTAAAAGCTAAAAATGTCATTAATTAATTTTAGCTTTTGAAATTTTAAAATAATTTTAATGAATAAAAAAACTAACTGCTGTGGGAATGGTGGTTTTTCATTTCTTAATGATGTATAGGTTGTAGTTGGTGCCCGTAAAATACTAGTTGTTCTCGATGCAGTACTACTACTTATACGTCTTTGTTTTTCAGTTTTTCTCATCTACAATCATTAAATATAAATCATTGAAATTATAGGAATTTTGAATGAAGTATATTTTCCGGATAATAAAATATACATTTTATAAATGTTATTTCCGAGTAGATCATGATTACCGAGATAACCAACTTGAAATGAATAATATTGCTAGATATCAAATAATTAATAAAATATTCTCTATCATCCATTTTATTAATTAAATAATAGGTTTTTAAAATTGTAAAAAGCAGAATATAATTCAATAACAAAAAAAAAAGACTACTCATTATACTTGAGAATCGCCCACTAAATTTGATTGAAATTTTTAAGTTAAATTAAAACCTTTAAATTTATAGTGTTTAATCTAAAGAGGAAACAAGAGGAAAAAACTTTATGAAACAGCATAAATATGTCTAAAATATCTTTTAAATTAAAAAAAAAAAAAAAAAGCAAAGCTATTCAAACAAATTGTTAATTTGTCAATGGAAATAACAACAACATAGTAAACAATAAATATTAAACAAAGTAAACAATAAATATTAAATAATGTCTGTTATTTTACTACTATATAGAGATGAAAAAAGAAAAAATAAATCACTCACACTAACTAATTCACTTACCCTTTTAACAAATCCGAAATAAATAATTGCTGCGCATATTCCGAAAAATAAAATACCGGCAATTACTATTGCAAATATTACGCCTACCTGAAAAAAAAAGTGGAATAAATAAAAAATAAAACAAGAAAAAATCTTTATGTTAAATTACGCTTTTTATAATTAAAAATTATAAATAAGCGACAAGAAACAATAAAAGATAAATAAAATCATTAAAAAAGGGATAATTCAAATTTTTCGAATAACATTTTACATTTTACTTAATAGTATAATTTGTGATAATAAGTGAAAAAAAAAAAAAAATTTTGCAAAAAATTTTTTAAAAGTAAAATTTTATCGTTAGATTAAGCTTATTATTTAAAACAGCATATGATAGTATTTATTTATTCCTTTTTTTATTTCTATTTTATCAATGTTGAACGATTGTCTTACACTGTTCACAATGCTAATATTATTACTTAATGGATATGTCAAATTTAAATTGTAAAAATTTGTTTCAAATTCTATGAAAGAAAGAGTAAAAGAAGAATTACAAATTGGATTCAGACCATATGTATGGAAACATTTGAATTTTATTTTTAAAAAAATAATTTTACAAAGAATGAAAAAAATGAAAACAAACTTGATAAGCATAATAGCTACTGGAATAGCTCGTAGTATAACCATCGCCATAAGAATAAATACTCTTATAAGCCATTCAGCGAGTAATAATTGAGTCAGTAATTAATAATCTAATCAAATTGCTAATAAATGAATGATTGATTAAATAATATGAAAATTTGTTGATATAAATTAATTCGAGTGAATAATGAAAAAAAGACCCATATACTCTTACTTTAAAAGGAAGAAAAAGGAAAAAAGGAAAATGAAAAACGAAAATGTTTGAAAATATTAAATACAAAATAATTGAAATGATAATAATAAGTAATAAATATTACATTTGTTATATAATTGATCATGTATACATTTATAACTTAATACTTGTGGTAGTTAGTGAGAAAAGTTAAAAGAGATGAAGATGAAGAAGCAGGGAGAATTATAGGGTGGAAAAAGTAAACAAAACGATGTAAATGTAAATAATGTAGAAAGGATTGAGCAAAATGTAGTTTTATGAATGTTTGTTAAAATTTAGAAAACAAAAGAGTTTGAAAAAGAAATGAAGTGCTACGATAGAAAATGATATGGAATAAATATTATGATAGATGATAGAAGAGGAAAGGAGAGATAAGGAGAGGAAAAAAATGGCTGAAATTAAATAAATAATCAACAAAAAAGGCAACGAAGCATTGAAAGAATAAAAAAAGAAGAAAAAAAAGAAAAAGAGAAAAAGTTGGAAAATTTTTTTTCGTTTTATTAAAAAAAAAAAAAAAGAAGTGAACAGTTTGCTTGATGTACAAAGGAAAGAACGATAGGAAAAGCCAAATGTAGTCGTTTAGTTTGCTGCTTTAACGGAAAAATTCGTTTGCATTACGAAATGGATTGCATTCCAATGTGTCATCGCAATATTTGCAATCATTTCATTGCTTTATAAGCTTGATCAATCACTCAGATCATAAATCAATCAATATTATTATGCAAATGAACATGATCCTTCACTCTCAGATCATAAATCAATCAATATTGCTAGGCAAATGAACGTGATCATCCAGATTATCAATTTTAACTTTCTAGATTATCAATTTTAATTATAATTAAGTGCCAGAACTACTGAAAATAGCAATATTTTGAAGTTAATTGAATGTGCTGTATGCATTGCACGAGAGCTTGTCATATATGGTGTGCTCATTTTATAGTTTAAATATTAAAATACGCTTTTGTAATTAAGTTTTAAGCAAAAATTCGTCAGCAAAATTAATAAAACTTTCATTTAATCATGATTTTAATTTAATTTAAGATTTAAATTAAATTTTTTTTCAAATTTAAATTTTGAATTTTTTAAAAAATTTAAGATTTATAATAGTTTTCTTACATTTAACAAGGAAATTGGTTCTAAATTATCAATTTTTATTTTAATTAAGTGCCAAAACTACTAAAAATAGCAATATTTTGAACTTAATTGATTATGTTATATTTATTTAATTCCTACAGTTATAATTAATTTTTATTTTAAATTTAAAATTCAAATTTTATGAAAATTCATTAATTTATTAGAATTATAAAATAAATTCTAATAATATCAAAAACTAATTTTAATTAAATTTGAAATATTAAAAAATATCAAATCATTAAAAAAATAGATATTTTGTAGTTAATTGATTGAATTTTATGCGTTGCACAAGTACTGGTCACACACATCGTGGTCATTTGACCAGCAATAAAATAAACTTTAGAAGTTAAGTTTCAATCAATATCTTATTAATTAAATTTTTAATTTTTCACGATTCTAATTCATTTTTACAATTAAAATTAATTTATATTTCAAATTTAAATAGCCCATTTATAAAAATCCCATAATTTGTACAGGTATTTGCATATTAAACTAGGTAAGAAGTCTTACTATGATCAAAATCTAATTTTAAAAGATGTTAAAACTATTAAAAAATATCATTTAATAAAAAAAAATTGATTATTATATACGCATAGTGCGGGAACATTGTGGTCATTTGACATCTTAAATAATAAAATAATGCTTAGGCTTAGGCTTAGGGTATACTTAGGCTTAGGCTTAAGCTTTATTTCAAATCTAAACATTGATCTTGGTGAAAATTTTATAATTTGCAAGAGTTTTTGTATATTAAACGGATAAATAATTTCTGGCTTTATCAATTTTAATTTTAATAAATGTTAAAATTATTAAAAAACGTTAATCCATTAAAAAAAATTAGTTATTTTGAACTCAATTGATTAATTTTTAAGCGTTGTATAGGTACTGGTCATTTACGGTTGGTCATTTGATCAGCACAAATAATTAAACAAACTTTAATAATTAAGTTTTGTGTAAAATTTCAGTTGTGAAAATAATAAATTTTTTAGTTAGTCATAGATCTAATTCATTCTTGCAATTAAAATTAATTTTTATTTCAAATTTAAATACTGATTTCTGTGAAAATCGTATAATTTTTAAAAGTTTTTGTATATTGGATTATCAAAAAATGGAATTATCAAATAAATAAAAAATGGTAGAGTTAATTTTCAATTTAATTAAATGTTAAAAATTGAAAAGTATCAAATCATTAAAAAAATAGATATTTTGAACTTGATTAATTTATAAGCGTTGAATAGTACTGGTCACATACATCGCGGTCATTTGAAGTCTTAAATAATAAAAAAATGCTTAGGCTTAGGCTTAGGGTACACTTAGGCTTATGCTTAAGCATTATTTCAAATCTAAAAATTGATTTTGGTGAAAATTTTATAATTTGCAAGAGCTTTTGTATATTAAACGGGGAAATAATTTCTAGTTTTATCAATTTTGATTTTAATAAAATGTTAAAACAATTAAAAAATGTCAATTCGTTAAAAAAAATTAGTTATTTTGAACTCAACTGATTAATTTTATGCATTGCATACGTACCGGTCGCTTACGGTGTGGTCAATTGACAACATAAATGAGAAAATAAACTTTATTAACTAAGATTTTTAATATCAGAGAAGTGAAACTAATTAAATTCAAATTAAAAATTAAAATTTTTTAATTAAGTTTTGCGCAAAAATTCATCGGCAAAATATATAAAACTTTCAATTAATCATGGTTTTAATTCAATTTAAGAATTAAATTAAATTTTATTTCAAATTTAAATTTTGAATTTTTTAAATTTTAAATATGAATTAAAAATTAATTTTAATTATAAGAATGATTTAAAACCGTCACAAATTAAAAATTTAGTTAGTTTTACTAATCAAATATTGATTAAAACATAATTATTAAAGTTTATTTTAATATCTATGCTGACCAAATAACCACAATTCATGCGACCAGTTCCTATGCAATGCACACAAATTAATCAATTAAGTTCAAAATATCCATTTTTTTTTTTAATGAATTGATATTTTTCAATTTTTTAACTTTAATTAAGATTAGTTTTTGATATTTCTGGATTTTATTTTGTAGATTAACATGCAAAATTCTAATAAATTAATGAATTTTCATAAAATTTGAATTTTAAATTTAAAATAAAAATTAATTATAACTGTAGGAATTAAATAAATATAACATAATCAATTAAGTTCAAAATATTGCTATTTTTAGTAGTTTTGGCACTTAATTAAAATAAAAATTGATAATTTAGAACAATTTCTTGTTAAATGTAAGAAAACTATTATAAATCTTAAATTTTTTAAAAAATTCAAAATTTAAATTTGAAATAAAATTTAATTTAATTCTTAAATTGAATTAAAACCATGATTAATTGAAAGTTTTATATATTTTGCCGATGAATTTTTGCGCAAAACTAAATTAAAAAATTTTAATTTTTAATTTGAATTTAATTAGTTTCACTTCTCTGATATTAAAAATCTTAGTTATTAAAGTTTATTTTCTCATTTATGCTGTCAATTAACCACACCGTAAGCGACCGGTACGTATGCAATGCATAAAATTAATCAGTTGAGTTCAAAATAACTAATTTATTTTAACGAATTGACATTTTTTAATTGTTTTAACATTTTATTAAAATCAAAATTGATCAAACTAGAAATTATTTCCCCGTTTAATATACAAAAACTCTTGCAAATTATAAAATTTCAACAAAATCAATTTTTAGATTTGAAATAATGCTTAAGCATAAGCCTAAGTGTACCCTAAGCCTAAGCCTAAGCATTTTTTTATTATTTAAGACTTCAAATGACCGCGATGTATGTGACCAGTACTATTCAACGCTTATAAATTAATCAAGTTCAAAATATCTATTTTTTTTAATGATTTGATACTTTTCAATTTTTTAACATTTAATTAAATTGAAAATTAACTCTACCATTTTTTATTTATTTGATAATTCCATTTTTTGATAATCCAATATACAAAAACTTTTAAAAATTATACGATTTTCACAGAAATCAGTATTTAAATTTGAAATAAAAATTAATTTTAATTGCAAGAATGAATTAGATCTATGACTAACTAAAAAATTTATTATTTTCACAACTGAAATTTTACACAAAACTTAATTATTAAAGTTTGTTTAATTATTTGTGCTGATCAAATGACCAACCGTAAATGACCAGTACCTATACAACGCTTATAAATTAATCAATTGAGTTCAAAATAACTAATTTTTTTTAAAGGATTAACGTTTTTTAATAATTTTAACATTTATTAAAATTAAAATTGATAAAGCCAGAAATTATTTATCCGTTTAATATACAAAAACTCTTGCAAATTATAAAATTTTCACCAAGATCAATGTTTAGATTTGAAATAAAGCTTAAGCCTAAGCCTAAGTATACCCTAAGCCTAAGCCTAAGCATTATTTTATTATTTAAGATGTCAAATGACCACAATGTTCCCGCACTATGCGTATATAATAATCAATTTTTTTTTATTAAATGATATTTTTTAATAGTTTTAACATCTTTTAAAATTAGATTTTGATCATAGTAAGACTTCTTATCTAGTTTAATATGCAAATACCTGTACAAATTATGGGATTTTTATAAATGGGCTATTTAAATTTGAAATATAAATTAATTTTAATTGTAAAAATGAATTAGAATCGTGAAAAATTAAAAATTTAATTAATAAGATATTGATTGAAACTT